TACAGCTACAACAGTCACTGGCAAATCCTACTTTATTGGTCATTTCCATAATTTTGGGGATTTGAGGAAGAGAAGAAATACTGCTCCTTTATTCATTCATCAAAATGAAGAAGCAAAAACAGTATTAGAGTATCTACCATGTGTAATTCCTAGAAAAACAAATACCACTTTAAGATCTTTATGCAACCTCTTCAGCTATTCAGACAGCCCTTCGTCTCCAGAGTGCGGCCAAGTCCTCCCTTCACCATGAACTCAAACTGAAGAGACGGGTCCAGCGGGAACACAGCCAACAGGAGCGCAGCCGGAGCTCCCGGAGCAGCTGCAGCAGCCGGAGCAGCTATTCAGACGACTCCACCATCCAAGAGATGGAGAAGATGGAGAAGGAGAAAGACAAACAGGATTTAGAGATAGAAAGCATCATACAGGTAAGAGCGGAAGGAATCAGTGGAGGGACAATTAATCGTAATGTTAGTTTTAACCTCCGTTTATCTGTTTCTTGCAGCATGCACGTGAATTGGAAACGAAACGAAGGGAGGCAGAGGAAAGAGAAAGGAGGAAACAGAAGGAGGTGCAGATGGAGCTGGAGAGACAGCTCAAAGAGGTTGAGACGGTAGGAGAAACTTTTCCAGATGACAATGTTTATTAACAATTCGCAGAAGTTGGATTTAGAGTCCATCCCATTGACTTTGACCTGTCAATACAGCACGAAAACATTGGCATTATAAAATTCAGGCTTAACCTTCAGTGATTTTTAGTGGTGTAGACACAGTTATGGCATTCCTGGAAAAGGTGATTCAGGAATAGGTCAGTTCTTTCCACCCAAGTGGTGTGTGTAAATGTGTGTGTGTGTTCACCTAGTTGAGAGACAGCATGCAGGCAGAGATGCAGGAGAAGGAAAGGGAGGCTGAGCAACAGAAGAAGAGGATCCAGGAGTTGGAGCTGACGCAGCGGAAACTGGAGGCTGCTCTCAACATGGAGATCCAGGCTCGGCTGGAGGAGGAGAGGGCCAGACAGGAGCTGGAAAGGTAACAAACATACACACCCACTGTATTCCCCTATACTCTGAACCAGGGGTTTTCAAAGTATTTCTCTTTTGGGGATAATCAAGGATCAAGTTTTGGTACTATAGGTCTCATAATGCTTTGGGGGATGTTAACAGCAAATGATGCAGAGGACTAAGCATATGTCTTAAAACGTCAGCCCTGTTTTTATCCTGTATTTGTTTACATTTTGGCAAACTGGTACCATTAAAAGTACACTGAATGAGCTATTTTTGCAATGTACCCATGAATAAACAGAAAAGTATCACTGGATTACTTTTACTTTGAAGAATACTTTAAAAATTGATGATTCTTTAGATGATTTGATCTGAAAACTTCTAAAGTTCTAAACTATTTCTAAGCGGATTAATAGACGTTTGTTTGCGATGGACAAAAGATAATGTTATACACAAAAAGTGTAAGTCCTACTGTTCAGATTTGACTGAGTTATGACTCAGAGAAAGAGTAGGATTTTTGCAGCAATCTGGCGCTCATGGTTTTGAAATACCTCAATTGCCTCTGAGCTGTATGTCACAGCCACTGCTGCTGCTTCAACTGCTGACCGTAGTCATCGTGGTCACCAAGCTTATTTGTCTGGGCCAAATCAGAAGCCAAACTACAACAAGTGACTTCTCGTTATTTTCAGAACACTGACATGCTGTGCTAATGAAAACCCACAATCTAAACCAAACCAAACTACAGACTTTGTGGTGACTTGATTGTATTTGGTGCTTCTTGTCTGTCTTCTTCCTCTCCAGGTTGCTGCAGGTGGAAGAAGAGAAGAAGAAGCAGTTCCAGCTCCTCCAGGAGCAGCAGAGGGCCTTGCAGAGCCTCAGCCCCATACAGGTGGCCTCCGATGGCAGTACAGGCGAGGATACCCCCGCAGCTATTCACTCGGCCTCTCAGGAGCTCCTGGACCTGCGGGCCTCTCGCCAGAGGAGCCACCAGCACCTGGAGGCAAGAAGGAGACAGTGTGTTTAAATTGGCGCATCATGTTTAATACTATAAACACCCTCATGAGAATTTTTTTCCTATTCCAGGAGCTACAAGAGAAGCTGAGGAATGCCAGTCAACATGTGCGGCACTGGAACGTCCAGCTGAACCGTCTGATGACACCCGTCACTCCTGGAGGTGCTGTATGCTCTTATTGCTGTGGGTCTGATTAAAGGGGCAACACAACTTTTAAGTTGATGTATGGGCTGGTGCCCCAATGTCAGCAAAAATGCACCCTACTGAAATATAAAGTAGTAAAAATCTCTCCTTGCCCGAGGGGTAATAATTATTTCATTTTAGCACACCTTTGTGATTATATCCATCCATTCTCTATAACTGAGCATACTGTGTAGGTGTCAGGGGGGCTGGAGCCAGTCCTAGCTGACATTGGGCGAGAGGTCGTAATTATAGCTTCACCTAATTTTAACAGGCTAAAATTGTTGAAATTTAAGAAAAGGCTTTATTGATCTGTATTTGAGCCTAATCTCTAATCTAGGGGTCAAGTAAGCATCGGGTTATTTTAAGGTATGTTAAATTGGTAAATGAAAAGACAGGTGAGGTATGAAATCCAGTCTACAGTCACTAGATGTTTTGGAATTACCATCAATTTAAGTAAAAAAATGGTAATTTATCAAAAATCTATTGTGCTGAATAGATTGATTTCCTATAAGTAAGATCCTTACAATCTCTGTCCATTTTGATTAATTTTGTTAAAAAAAAAAACAAATTAATACAATAATAATAATAAAAAGTATTCTAATGTACATCTGGATCCAAATCTGCATTAAAATACAGTCATTGCAGGGCGCTGGTTAGCTCGGTTAGAGGCGGTGAGTGCAGCTCTTTACTGCATGTCATCCCCTTTGTCTCTCTATCTGAAAAATAAATACCAAAAAATATCTTTAAAATAGAGTGATGGCATACACTAAAATTTCTTTCAAGAAAGTCCAGTAGTCACTGAGAAAATATTGAAAACTGCATTGTCAGGAAATCCTTTAAAAATTCCACTGAAATTGACCGAAAACCGTCAACACAAACTTACAAACACCTAATGGTACCTAAAATATAACCTAATTTTGCAGCCTTGACCTAAAAGTCAAATATATCAGTGAACCTCACAAAACCAAATGTTTTTTGTTTGTTTGTTTGTTTTTGTAGAGCGTTTGGAATATCGCCTATCATCAAATCGCAAGTGTCCCAAAAAGGAAGCCCTGGCCAGTAACGAGTTCATCTCTAAATTCAAGATAAGAGCCGATCAGAACAGCCAGCTACCAGAGGACGAGAGACTGGAGGAGCAGATGGAGGCCGCCAACCTCTCAGATGGATCAGACGAATCACAGGGAAAACCCAATGGACAAATGTGATCACCGAGTTTACGGTTAGGGGAACACGTTTTCACATCTACACATTCAGAAATGATAAAATTTGCATAAGACTGAGAGCGGAAAGTGGAAGGAAAAAAGCTATTAACAATACAAAAAGTGTTGTGTTATATTTATACATTGAAATGCACACTAAGATGGAGAGAAAAGATGACAAAGCACAATGTGAAGCAGGATTTCATAAAAACACATTTGACTTACTAACATTTGACTGATCAACAGAGATTTCCAGTTTTGTACAATAAAATTTATTGGTGAATAATAAAACTCATTTTATGAAATTTGTCTTTTCTTTTCGTGCCACTTTCTACTTCTACTTTCACTACATTTCAGACTTTATTACAATTATTTCACAGCTTAATTTACCAGTTATTTTACAAGTTAAGATTTTTGTCTACACAACATACAAAGAGATTATGAAACATGATGTTTTGTTATAAATTAAACTACCCAATAGTTTAGACAAGTACAGCTGGAGCGATTAGTCAATTAATCCATTAGTTGACAGACAGAAAATCTATTGGAAACTATATATATGTAACTCACATTTTTCATGCTAAAACATTTCATGATTCTATTTTTACAAACCAAACAATCAATCGATTAATGGAGAAAATAATCAGCAGATAGGTCAGGCTCTACAAAAATCATTAAAAGTGTAATTAAAATATTCAAATGTTAAATGACTTATTATATTGTTAAACAGCTCATAATTATTAAATAAGAAGAATGGTAATAATGAAGAATAAATACATTAGAGTAACATTTCTTTACAACAGCCTTTTATTAATTTTTAGCTATAAAAAAATTAAAAAAAGATGAAAGTGCCATCTAGATGACACCATGGAACTCATTTTTACCATGTGCAGTCAAAACAAATTAGCACTAAAATATCCTTATGCAGGGAGAGAAATTATCTACTTTTTATAATTTGTCATTATGTTTTTACTGTGTCTTAACTGAGAAGAAACTAAAGACAAATTTCCTTCCCTATTCTTTATTGTCATATGCACAACAATTTACAGTGGTAGCAGTTGTTGGGTAGTACAATGCTCATACAAAAATCTGTATGTATAAAAAAATCACATCTAATTAGAATCTGAAACAAAATAGTGCAATAACTACAATATAGAAATAAAATGTAATATAAATATACTGCAACAGACAGGTGATTACTGTATATACGTAATGAGAACTGGTTATAGACAGGTATGCACATTGCACATATATATATATACTGTGTTGGATCAACATGTAGTAAAATAAATCTATTTAGTGTGATGTAAACAGGTTGTAAACAATAAGTAAGCAGGTGGAGCCAGTGCAGTGGAATGTAATTATGGCAGTAGTGTAAGGTGTAGTATAAAGATCAATATGGAATTAAATTCAGTCTTTGATGGTGGATATTTTCTAAAGGTTCGATATATAGAAAATATTTGTTTTACAAAGATACGCAATAAGGGAGTGATGTGCTAAATTGATCTCCTGTATGAAATATGTTATCAATAAAATCATGGCATATTGTGGCCTGAAGGTGGCGCAGCAGCAGGAAATAACAGAGAGGTGACCCGGATAGAAAATGAAATCAAGCCAGGTGACCTCAGTTAACATGGCGGCTCTCTGGACTGTGTCATGTGGACTGTAGAAAAGATGTCTGTTAGGCGCTAAATGTAGTGTTTCGTTCAGTAAGTATAGTTTTACAGTTTAATTGCAGATTATGGGTTTGTCTTAATTCGTGAAGAGATCCTTAAGGCAGGAGTACGCCATGTTGGCATCAGTGGCTGTCCGTGTGACAGCAGCCTCCAGAGGGAAGGTCAGGTCTCTGGTCTCTGTGGGCAGGAGACTGTCCACAAACCAACCTGGCTCCCCGGGTGGAACTCACCACCCTCCGCCCGGAGCCCCCGCTCCTCTCCCGGACACTGAGCCGCCCGCGATGGAGCAGTGGCGACCCAGAAAAGACCCCAGCGGCTGCTCCGTACTCCTCTTCCCTGGGCAGGGCAGCCAGTTTGTGGGCATGGGTAGAGGACTTTTGAAGTACCCCAACGTAAAAGAAATGTTCATGGTAGCCCAAAAGATCCTCGGGTACGACCTGCTGGCTCTGTGCCTGGAGGGACCCGAGGAGGAGCTGATGAAGACGGTTCACTGTCAGCCGGCGGTGTTTGTCACCTCGCTGGCTGCAGTAGAGAGGCTCAACCACGAAAACCCCACGGTTGGTAGTCTGCAATATATTCGACAACTATTTTGTCATTAGAAGTCATTTGTGAAGGGGAAATGGCAAAAATGTGCTTGTTCCAGCCTGTCTTTGTGTGGAGTTGATGAGTTTCTCTCTTTTTATGCTTTTTATATAATGGCAAATTCACTTTTTAAGTTTTGGACAAAAAAACAATAACAAACAAGCAATTTATCGACTCTGACAGTTTTCTGACCAAATAATGAATCAAAAAAGAAACAATTATGATGATAATAAACCGTATTAGTCTCTATATAAGCCTTTTATTAATTTTACTGCATTCTTCAATTTCCATCTTGTTTTAACTGTAGGCCTATCACTGATTTAATGATTTAATTTGCATTTCAGGACAGCAAAGAGGCAAATAATATCAGACACTTAAAAGAATACAGAATAAAGTGGAATAAAATACCGAACAATAATATTAAAGAGGCAAATAATATCAGACACTTAAAAGAATACAGAATAAAGTGGAATAAAATACCCAACAATAATATTAAGATAAGACATGTTGGAAATAAAACAGCATGCTGGCATTTTAAACAGCATCTTTTTAAATATAGGTTTAGAAAAGTGATTTTAAAAGATTTGCTTTATCAATTTTTTTAAATAATAAAAATATTTATTATTCGCAGCACTAGTCCATTTTTTAATATTGTTTATGATTAATATTTTATTGAAATTTTCCTTGTTAACACAGTAGTCCAAAACGACTTATATTACAAAGAAAAAAATATATGTATATTTTAAAAAACCTATGTAATAAATTAAACATATTTTGATCCTTAAAAGTAGCAATATCATGACATAAACAGTCCATTAAAAGAAAAAGTAGCTACATTTTATGAGCAAAACAGTGAAACTAGCACTAACTGGAACAAGTACGTGTGGTCATGTTTTTACACTTCTGTCCTCAGGCCATTGAGACGTGTGTTGCTGCTGCAGGCTTCAGCGTTGGAGAATTCGCTGCCCTGGTGTTTTCTGGTGCCATGAACTATGCAGAAGGTAAACATGACGAGTTTCTTAACTTGTTTGGGACAAAGATGTTACCCAGTTCAAAAGTTAAAGTGTCATATTTACCCCCTCTGTGTCTTCTAGCTCTCTATGCGGTAAAGGTGCGTGCAGAGGCCATGCAGAAAGCTTCAGAGCTGGTTCCTAGTGGGATGCTGTCAGTCATTGGTAGACCACAGGCCCAGTATAAACATGCCTGTGTGCAGGCAAAAGAACACTGTGCGAGCCTGGGTATAGAGCAGCCGGTCTGCTCTGTGGCCAACTATCTGTTCCCTGATGGCAGAGTCATTGCAGGGCACCAACAGGTATTTCAAGGCAGTTTTGATTATTTTAAATCCTGCACATGCTTTGTGCTTTATCATTACAGTGTTGTTTTTCCAGGCTCTGGATTTCCTCCAGCAAAACTCGCGACATCTCCAGTTCATGAGGACCAAACCTCTCCCAGTCAGCGGGGCTTTTCACACAGAGCTGATGGAGTCAGCCACTGAACCCCTCAGAGAGGTGCTCAGACAGGTGGAGGTCAGTCAAACATTTTTTAAGCCACAGCTGCACTTCATGGTATATTCTTATGATCCAATGGTTGCCATGATAATCATATATAATCATATTTCTGACTGCTGCTAGAAACCATCTTGCATTTGCATGACAACCAGCATACAGCATAACTGCATGTTTAACATGGTTTTTAATGTAATGATTGTTTCCATATTCATATGTTTGTAAATATAATATAAACATGTTAATTTAAATGTCGCTTTGTTTCTAAAAATATAAAACAATATTTAAAATATTCTGTAAAAATTATGAAAAGATTGATCATTTACTGAACCTTTAAGACAGAAATCCGCATAGTTATGTCCAAAATAAAAGAAATGCCAACATAAAGTGTGTTTTAAACAACCACCTTGAACCAGTGGTTCCCAACCTCTTTAAACTAGAGCCCGACCGATAAATCGGTGTGCCGATATTGTCAGCCAATATGAGCTGATTGCAGATAAATGGGTATCAGTGTTTATGACAATTAAAAAAGAAACAGAAAGACGGATTCTTCAATAATGAGTGTTGTCTTGCAAAATCTGTCCACATACGTGTTTGGATTTTATCTTGGTGAGGTCTCTCTTTTTGTTTGTGTTGTTTCTGAAAAGAAGAGGAAAAAAGGGATATCGGCCGATATATCAAAAGATCGGATTTTAAAATCATCAAAAATGGTATCCATCTTAGAAATCCCATATTGGTCGGGCTCTACTTTAAACAAACTAGAGCTGCAATGATTAATCCATTAATTAATCAGTAAATTGACAAAAAATTGTCAAATTGTTCAAGCAAAAATGCCAAACATTTACTGGGTCCAGGAGGATTTCATAGATAATAAACTAAACTTTGGACTGTCCTTTGGACTTTTTTTGCAATTTTCTGACATTTTATGTAAGCTACAAACCAACCATCAACATTTTGTACTTGAGAGGGTAAAAACCTCACTGCCTCACTTTAACAATAATTCATTTCATCCACATCTCGTGTAATAATTTCTAACCTCACCAATATCTCACACGTGCACGCCTGGACTGATTTAGTACTTGTCACTTAACCCCTCTCTCTTCTCTCACCGCTCAGGTCCGTCGTCCTGAGATCAACGTGTACTCCAACGTGGACGGCAAGCGCTACATGAACGAGAGCCACGTGCGCAGGCAGCTGGTAAAGCAGCTTGTGTCACCTGTGAAGTGGGAGCAAACTCTGCACGAGATCTACGAGAGGACGCAGGGGAAGAAGTTCCCTCACACCTATGAAGTCGGCCCGGGAAAACAGCTCGGTGCCACACTTCAGAAGTGCAACAGGAAGGCCTTCAAAGACTATGCACATGTGGAAGTCACCACTTATGAAGACTGATAATGCAGATAGGCAGACTCAGGACTAACAAGATCCTAAACCTGCAAGCTCCTGTGGTTGCTTATTATGGTGTTGCTTGTGTATTATTATGTAATTAAATGATTTTTTAAGTTAATGACAATACAGAATTTTATCATTTCAAAGTTTATTTGCATCACATGAAAAAGCACTTTAAAATCTGAAGTCCAGCTCCCTTCGTTTTATATTACGTCAGGCTACATATTTTTTTAAATGTTGGCCTCTTAAACCAGTAAGAAACAATTCTGGATACAAAAGACTGCAGGCCAGCAACAGTCCAGTCTTGGGAAACTTTTTAACATTAATACAATTGTGAACCAACATGTCACTGCTACAATATGCTGGCCTACCCCTTGGCAACACTGTAAAACTGATTTAAACAATTTCCTAATGCTCTGACGAAGTTTACAGTGTTTATTTAACCCGTTTTAAATTCAATACCTCTCATGAAAATAGTATAAAAAGAGAAGTCAAAGTAAACAGCAGAAACAAATCAGCAATAATTGTCACACATTTGCAAACATATTTTTTTTTTTTTTTTTTAAAGATATGATGGCCGAAAAGACCTGCTAATGGCCCTTTAGGCTTTCCATTCCACCCATAGTGCACTGAAAATGGTCACTGCAGCCACCAGTGCCACAGCTACCAGTGCTCCTCTGGTCCAGCCAGTGCAAGTTACTGGTTTCAAGTTGGACACCTGTGAAATGAAAAAAAAAGAAAATCAAATTAGACTTTTGATAGTTTAGCAACTTTGGAGCAACAATTTTCAGCGAGACATATTGAATTTTTGTGTGTGCTATTTTACAAAAATTTCCATAAATAGTATAAAAGTCTAATTAAAGGTCTTCAAATGTCTACTTTTGTCCAAGCAAAAGCCACAAATATTCAATTTACAGCTATTGCTATGCATTAAAAAGCTACAAAAGTTGATATTAGAAAGACAGGAAACCGAGAATATCAAGCAATTTTTGGTTGAAAAATTTAACGATTTAAGCATAAATGTAGCCACTGTATTGTATGTGTGTAAGTTTTTCTGTAGTAAGGATACTAACCGTCCACTTGTTATGAACAAACACAATTGTATTTACAGTTTTATGATGCTGCTTTTTTTGCCTGGGACGTGCCAGGGAACGCAGCGTTATGGCGTGTTCGCAAACAACGTGAAGTGTTTCTAGCGTCGTAATTACAATCAAAGCCGATGGAAAGACGTTCCTGCCGGGTGGATGATGCGACGCGAACATGCAGAAAATCGCTTTCTTTCGCGTGACGCTGCGTCATGAGAGCCTATCAGGGCTTAGCGAATCGTTCACAAAAATAAAGGTGTGTTCAGACCAAATGCATTTGAGTAACAGTGGCAAATCTCAACAGCCAACTGGAGTAACACTTTGTTGGTTGTATTAAAGTATAACCAATAGCAGAAATCAAGAAACAGAGTCTACCATGTAGTCCTATGGTTTTGCTCACCTATCTCCAAGCCCTCTCCTTTTTTGTTCTATCTCTGTACATTAAAGACTTTGAATTGTAGGCCCAAAGATGGCCACAATATGTTTGTCCTCCATTTCTGAATCTCTGACGTCAAGAGAATCTCAATGCTGACAGGCTTTCTCTACACAGCATCACACCAAAATAGTGTCGTCCAGCACCTATTTGTGTCTTTGCATTGATTTGGTATGTAATTGTGCAACACAAATTATTTGTATCACTTTTAGTCTGAACACACCATAATACCATAGAGAAGATGAAGAAGTGTTACCCAGGCTCCCCAGGCATCAACTCTGAGGATCCCCTGCCCAGGCACAGAGCTCGCCACCCAGGCCTTCACTGCCGCAGACAAGCCCTGGAAGCCCCATAACTGACTGTGGATATCCCTGAAAGAGAACAATATCAGGTTGCACAATCTTAACAGCCAGATCTGAGGTCACACAATACGGATTGGGATGTTTGTTTTCTGATTTTATACCGATAGATTGTCCTGGTCAGTGCCTGAGCAAGTCTCAGCACGTGGAGAGGGATTGGTAGCCAGTTCGGCTGTCTGCTTGCCCATTCCCGGTCCAGCTGATCTCCAATTACAGCCAACTGGCGCCCGAAGGCCCTTGCAGCCCTGTCGTTGATCCTGAAGGGTTAACAAAGATGACTCTTGTTCAGTTATCAAGACTTTTACAATGTTGCTTTTCTCACACAAGCAGTGCTAGTCAAGTCAAGAAGTGTGTGAGGACATTTTGAATGTACTGTACAAAGATAATTTAAAAAAAAATACTAATCCAGTTCAAACAACACAACCAGAACACACTCCTACATCCAAGTGATTCTCCAAACAAAAGCCTTTTTTAGATATTGTTTATTTTTGGTACAACTGATCCCACATGGTCTGTTGCCGGAGGCGCAGTCTGTCTGAGCTGTATGTACAGTAGTTGTTATTATGAATAGTGTGGGGAAGGGCCTGTACTGTACCTGAGGTTCACGTCAAACAGGGTGTTAGTGTCCACCTCACCAGATCCAGCCTGGGGGGAGACAACACGACTCAGCTGTCTTGATTGTTCCACCATGGTGTTTTCTGGAAACAGAACCGGTATCATGCAAATTATTCATACATGTCAGAGAAAGTACCAATAATTCAATAGCCATGCAGGATAGATAATGGTTCCATGGTATTTGAAAGTGTTTGTGTGTTATCCTTGCTCTGCTCCCAACGTTCATAAACAGGCTGTGTAAATACTGGGTCATGTGACCAGGATAGGTGGTGGCTGTGTTACCGGGGAGAAACCAGGTAGATAAAACAGGCTCTTCAAGGTTTGAAGAGATGACATCATCTGATGGATTAAGTCCAGCTGTTGTGGCCATTAAAAACTGTATATTGCAACAAGAGGGTGTTAACCTGTTGCAGGTTAAGTTCCCTTGTGGACATGACTCTGTTTAGAGCTAGTTTATGCAATAATCTGTACATCTAATCTACCTTTGTTACTGGCTTTATGACTTGTTATTTTCTGATTTGCCCTAACAATCAGGTTTGTTCCCTCCTACGTGCACCTGTCCTCAGACCAGTTCCTGTTGTACCTGCCCTCATGTGCCTTCATGCAAATACTCCATTTCCATAACTCAAATCAACCAAACTGCCTCACCAAGAAGAAATAAAAACATCACTGGCTCCAAAGAATCTACTTATAGACTTTAAATATTTGAGTTGAGTTGAGTTAATCTATTATAAACTACTAATAAAAAGGTTTCCCTGTGTGTAATTATATGGTTTATGCCAATTCATCATCAAAATACAGCCCTAAATGCTGCAACTTTAACAATATAGTAACAGCCTCCACTCCAAAATAATGCCCAGAAACTCAAACCAGTTTATGAGTATTAATCATGTAATAGCCTGTAGTCCGTCACCATATTGTCATAACAAAGAGATGAGGTCAGCCTTCCCACCCAAAGTAAACAAAGGTTGTTTTGAAGATCAGCCGTACTGGATAACGCATTAAGGCACAGATATATATTAATCCTAACTACATTTCCAAATTAACTAGTATATTGTATCATGTTGAAATAGCATCATGTACAAATATACAATCTTCTGTAAAACAGGTGCATGCACAATCAAAAAAGCGAAAGTAAACCTACCTTATAAAGTGGACGCCGCCCTGTAATAGATATGAAGACATAATAATTGAAATTTTGAGTGGTAATGGAAATAATAAAAAAGAAGAAATATTTGTAAGGGTTCCTGTACTTACAGCAGCGTCCTTTAATCTTGCTGCTCTCAGGTAACTGACACAAATATCTTTGGCCACGCCTTTTACCTGCTTCTACAGGACAGTGACCATCAGAGGGCGACAGCATCATCATATTAAAACAGAATATCATTATCATCTCATCATCATATAAACAGAAGATATAATTTTCTTTTACTTTAGAAAATGAATTTCTTTTCCTGAATACATAGTTTTGCTCATACTAATAACAGCACAGTGATGAATGCATAAAACAAGGTGTTGTGGAAATTGTATATTGCTGATGAGGGATTAAGCAAATAATTGAGTTACAACAAACTGTTGTCTTTGAAGAATTTATAAAAGAGAATAAACAGAGAAGTACTAAAACACATAAACAGCTGGACAGAGCAAAGGGATGCATAATCATTTACACAGTCTAGGTTTCTTTGTTTGGGGGGACAGAGATCCACTCTTGGCCTTGAATGAACTTTCAAGAAGAGGAGAGGAACAGCAAGAGGGGGAAACACTAAAATCTAAAGGTGTGGACAGACCAATATAATGAATAAAGAAAAAGTTAACCAAGAGCAAAAAGGCTAAGGATGAAAAACAATATATCTATAAAACAATAATAGTAATAATAATAATAATAAAAGAACATGTATAAAAGATTAAATGTAAGAGGAAACAATTTTCTGCCATTACACAAGGGAAATGTCATATTCAAGAGAATATCCAGCAATGTTCCCAACTTCAGACTATTTTCAATGTGTGTGGAAAGTTTTTATGCATCCCTCACCAATAATGTTGTTTATATTATAATAAATTTAATCTACTTGTTAAACCTATGTTACAAATGTAGAGCTGACATGTATATGTTTATATGCAGCCATTTGTCTGATATTCACCTTGTCTGCATAGTTGTATATATTTTGTCATTTAATGAATATTAACTTTCTCTCTGCAGCGTGTGATTCAAACTGCTCAGAAGATCATTGGTACCCATCTACTGAGCGTCAGTGATATCGATGTGAGGTGAGGCTAATAGCTCTTACTCGTACTTATTGCTGCTCTTACAAATATCTATAGTCATTTGTAGATCTCTTATTGTACTGATGCCTTATTGATGCTTGGATGTTTTTCCTCAAATGTTGTTCCTTTGCACTATTGTATAATCCGTCCAACAATTACAACTTGCACCACTGTACATACGGAATATTTATTCATACTGTATTACCATAATCATACTCATGGCCTGTCATAGCCTGTACATACGCGTAGCAACAGAGTTTCATGTAGGCACATATTTATATTTATATATCATTTCATACATTGCACTGTGTATATTACTGTATCATATGTTATTTAATTACTGCTTAAGCACTTAGATTCTGATTCCTTCCTTTATTCCTTCTTATATTCCTTGATTCCGTCCTTGATTCCTTCCTTCCTTCCTTCTTTGGTTCCTTCCTTCCTTCCTTCCTTCCTTGATTCCTTCCTTCCTTTCTTCATAGATTTCTTCCTATATTCTTTGCTTGCTTCCTTCCTTGACTCTTTCCTTCCTTCCTTGATTCCCTCTTTCCTTCCTAGATTCCTTCCTTGATTCCTTGGTTCCTTCCTTCCTTGATTCCTTCTTTACTTGCTTTATTCATGCCTTGATTCTTACCATCCTTCATTCCATCCTTTTTCATTCCTTGATTCCTTCCTTCCTTACATCCTTTCTTGATTCCTTCCTTCTTTCCTTGATTGATTCCTTCCTTCCTAGATTCCTTGAATCCTTCCTTGATTCCTTCCTTCCTTCTTTGATTGCTTTCTTCCTTCCTTTCTTGATTCCTTCCTTTATTCCTTCCTTCTTTCCTTGATTGATTCCTTCCTTCCTTGATTCCTTCCTTACTTCCTTCTTTGATTCCTTTCTTTCTTCCTTTCTTGATTCCTTCCTAGATTCCTTGAATCCTTCCTTCCTTCCTAGATTCGTTCCTTCATTTCTTTATTTCTCCATTGATTTCTTGATTACTTCCTGTAGGTACATATTTATATTTATATATCATTTCTTACATTGCTTTGTGTATATTACTGTATCATATGTTATTTAATTACTGCTTAAGCACTTAGATTCTGATTCCTTCCTTTATTCCTTCCTATATTCCTTGATTCCGTCCTTGATTGCGTCCTTCCTTCCTTTATTCCTTGCTTCCTTCCTTAATTTCTCCCTTCCTTGTTTCGTTGTTTCCTTCCTTGAATCCTTCCTCTATTCCTTCCTTCTTTCCTTGATTCCCTGATCCCTTAATTCTTTTCTTCCTTGCCTGATAGCATCTTTCCTTGATTCCCTGATCCCTTAATTCTTTTCTTCCTTGCCTGATAGCTTCTGTCCTTCCTTCCTAGAATGCTTTATTCATTCCTTTATTCCTTCCATCCTTTCTTCCTTCCTTGATTCCTTTCTACTTACTTAAATCCAATCATCTAAAATGAATTTGCAAAAAACACTTCAGGCTTTACATTTTCTGGTTCTCACACTTGTTGTCCACAAACGTACCAAATTCGAGGTTGATATGTAGATGTACTGAGGTCAATTCTTTTAACATATAACTCTATGTATATGTAATAACTGTAGTATATATTACTGTACTCTATTTAATTTATATAGTATCGCGTTTTATTAATTATCCGTTAAGATATGTTTGTGTAGCATGAAGACACAACAAGCTTTCTTTTTGTTATACAACCTTGTGTTGTCTAATGATAAATAAATTACTTTAAACATTGTACCTTGTTATACCGGTTGTACCCAGTCCCCTTGGTTGAACCTTGTATTTTACATTGACGGTGCAACACTCCCCCCTGCTGGTCTGTTCTGGTATAGACATCCTGGAATGACATCACTGCGTCCTTCGTTGCTAGGTAATTCTCCCGGAAGGACCCAGCTCATAACGACGTCGTTTAATGTTCTTGGGGCATTTTTTGTGTTAAAAATACTTTAAATTGTTATTAAGTCGCATAATAAGGTCATATGTCATTACATTTCAGTAAATAAGGCTTTTATTGTGAAGAGTAACATAGTTAGGGTGGGCATTTCGTCACTGTGTCCAGCTTCACGACGCCCTGGATCAATACATGTAGCTTGTTAGCAATAAAAGCGCTAACATGGAACCGTTTGTTGTAAGCTGCAGCTATCAATGATGCTGACAGACTTTCTTGCCGCTGGGTTCCGCTATGAGTTTAAATAACGACAGTCTGGTGAGATTGCATCACTGACTGGGTGATGTCCGCCCAACCTCTGCAGCAGTCCAGGGAGGATTCAGCAGCCTGCTAACTGAGCCAGCCCGGCTAGCTGATGCTGATGACTGGCTGTTTCCTGACATTGATTTGCAGGTAGGTGACTGCTGTGCTGCATGGATGCTGCATGCATTTTGGTTCTATTCTCTTTTCCTGTGCATTGTCCTATCTTGAGTCTTATCTGTTTGTTTATCTGCTTTACCTGTTGTTTGTGCTCCACCCTAGTGGGAGGCGCCATGGCCGGTAAGGTGAAGTGGGTGACAGATATTGAGAAATCAGTGCTCATCAACAACTTTGAGAAGAGGGAATGGACTCAAGTGACAGAAAACGACGACTGGAATTTCTACTGGTTGGTTTCCCATCTACATTACATCTACATTACATCTGAATCTTTAGTACATGGACACTACACTCTGCAAGCACTATTTATAGGCAGTAGTGGAAGAAGTACCTATTCTTTGCCTACATTAAAATAACAAAACCATAATGTAAACATTCTCCATTTAAAATATATCCTGCAATCAAAATCCTACTTGAATAAAAACACAGAAGTATGGTCAGCAAAATGTACTTAAAATATAATTAAAAGTACTCCTTTTGCAGAAACTGTCCATTGTGATCGATATACATAATTACATTATTATTACAGGTGCATAAGCAGCATTTCACTACTGAAGGTGGTCAAGGTGAAGCTAGTTTTAAATACTTCATACAGTTTAGGTAATTAAGTTCAGAGGTTCCCAGACCAGGGGTCGGGCACCTACTAATGGTCACAAGATAAATCTGTGGGGTAATGAGGTGATAAAGATAAAGATAAAACAATGTTCAGCTACATACATTTTCATTAATTTGCAAAATATTGGATCGTTTGATGTCTTTGTGCCTCGAACAGTCATTTAAATGAAACCATCTGAAAGAAATTCCTCTTTTGTGGAACGCACAAATCCAAAATGTAGTGAGGAAGTAGTAGAAAGTCGCACAAAATAGTAATATTATTAAGTATTTCAAAATTCTCTAACCACTACACATAGACTGTATGTTGTTCCTATTTAAGTCAATGAATGAGTAATAATTGAATCACCAAGTTTATTTATAGGCTCCAGACTCTTTAAATCACCATAATGTATGTTTATTTGTTCCCACATGTAGGATGAGCATCCAGACCATCAGAAATGTGTTCAGTGTGGACACCGGCTACCGCCTATCAGATGACCAGATGGTTAACCACTTCCCCAACCACTATGAGCTGACCAGGAAGGACCTGATGATCAAGAACATCAAACGCTACCGCAAGGAGCTAGAAAAGGAAAGCAGTCCTCTGGCAGAGAAGGATGAGAATGGGAAATACATTTATTTAGGTATCTGTTAGAGCTCTGACGGGAGGGATGAGGGTAGAAAAACACACATTCAGTACTCAATTCTTTTACACACAAAACATGGAGAGGCACTCTGTGTAGAATATGTTTAATTATTTACTCAATGTGTGCAGATTTTGTTCCGGTGACGTTCATGCTCCCCTCCGATTATAATCTGTTTGTGGAGGAGTACCGGAAGAACCCATCCAGCACTTGGATCATGAAGCCCTGCGGGAAGGCTCAGGGTAAAGGCATCTTCCTCATCAACAAACTGTCCCAGATCAAAAAGTGGTCCAGAGACAGCCGCACCTCCACGTGAGTCACCGAAGACAGTAAACACTTCCTGTGATCACTTTTATAAAACATAAATTTGGTCAGATATTTGTGGTTTGCTGATATTTGGCTTCTTCTTCTGTTTTTGCCTCCAGGTTTGTGGCAGCATCTAGTGGCAAGGAAGCCTACGTCATCTCCCTGTACATCGACAATCCTCTGCTGATAGGAGGGAAGAAGTTTGACCTGCGTCTCTACGTTCTGGTGACCACATATCGGCCTCTTAAGTGCTACATGTAAGCCATAAAAGTTTTCCTACATTTAACAGAAGCCAGCGTTAGAGCTTTGTAGAAAACCTTAAATGGAGTCATTAATACTTATATTACATTACTACTAATCTCTTATCTCTTATTCAGCTTGAGACTAATGCTTTAACGATAAGTTATTGATTAGTTGATGGACAGAAAATTAATTGGTAACTATTTCGATAAATGAGACTTTGATGCTTTTCTAATATATCAAAGTCAGCTGAATATCTTTGGGGTTTGGACAGTTGGTCGAATAAAACAAGCAATTTGAAGACATCCTCTTGGGCTCTTGAGCATTCTGACTTATTATAGACAAATCTATTCATTGATTAATTGTTTAACTGAGAAAAAAGGCAAGCAGCTGAATCAATCATGACCATAATTGAACTCGCTCTCTGGTTTGATCCTTAGGTACAAGCTTGGCTTCTGCAGGTTCTGCACAGTCAAGTACACACCCAGCACCAGTGAACTGGACAACATGTTTGTTCACCTCACTAATGTGGCCATCCAAAAACATGGGGTAAGTTTGTATCATGTGTGGTATGCCTAGTAGGGATTTTTATAAGAACGCGGGGTTTTAAATCAGCTTGTAGTATCAGCAAGTGCATTATAAGTTGAAATGGACATTAAAGGGATATTCCACCAGTTCTGTTTTGCACTTTCATAAAGTTTTGGGGGTGTCACACTGGACACTATATTTCCCAAAATGCATTTTAATAGCCACAGGAGATATTATACAACTGTTTTCACACACCAATGCTACGAAATTTATACTGATGTTCATGTCTGAAATAGAGTGCCCCTTTAAAGTGAAGCATGTTTTTCAAGATTTCTTTTGGCTGCATTTATAGTTTTACAAAATGATATAACTTCTCATCACTATCCAGTGACACTGCCTGATGAATTTCAGGTAATAACATTCCTCTCACAGCTCTCCTGTACATCTTTTTGCAACAGAACTCCATGCAGAAAAACACTGTCAAACATTTCAATAACTAGCTAGACTGTGTACCTTTAACACAGGATGACTACAACCACGTCCATGGAGGCAAGTGGACGGTCAGTAACCTCCGTTTGTACCTAGAGAGCACCAGAGGGAAGGAGGTGACCAACCGACTGTTTGACCAGATCCACTGGATCGTGGTGCAGTCACTGAAGGCCGTGGCTGTAAGTGGACAAAAATATCAAGTCATTTACTCCAAAATGAGATCCAAAATATGTGACAATTATGTAAGCCAAGTACTCCTTATTAATATCACATACTTACTTTAGGGAGTTTGATCAAATGATGGCACTTAATACTAATAAATAACTGTGCCTGTAGTCATTCTTTTGTTGCTGGTTGAAATCTGTCTCGAAATGAGTGACTTAACTGTGTGTTGTGGAACATTTAGTACCAATAACACCTGAAACAAGGACTCTTGGTTGGATAATGTTTGTAACTAGTAAACTGAAATTGGAGTAACTGCGAGTGGTTGTGATTTCACTCCCACTTCTTCTGATGACTGATGTAGCTGCAGAAAAAATCAGCTGTTTGTCTTTGCCAGTTACAATGGCTGACATCATGTATGCCTGCATTTTTATTGTTGTGTCCCTTCGATAGCTCAGATGTTAGAGCGGAGGACTGTAGTGGTTGCTCCAGGCATCCTTAGGTCGCTGGTTCAAATCTGGCTCGAAGGCGAAATCTTTTGTCTCAAATCACGTATGTTAGAATATGTTTTTGGATGAGACGAGACCTCAGTTCTCAAGTAAATCTAGTTGAGTAAAAAGTACAATATTTCCCTCTTAATTATAGTAGACTAAAAGTAGTCTAGTAGTAGCATGAAATATAAATTCTCCACCACTGCTCACCTACCTTTCATATCTATAGTGCTGAAACCACGTACAGTACAAAAATCACTCAACCACACATGTTGAAGCTTCCAGTGATGGTGTTTTTACTTTGTTCCTGTTGGGATGCTGTTTTTAGTATTCTATCCTTCAGTGAAAGTTTGCACTTTTAAACACACAGCTGTAAAACCACCTTGGTGTGGTGATATCTTTTTTGTTTTTAGCACAATGGTGCACTTCCCTTTTCTACTAAGTGATCTGACTCACTTCCCCTGTCAGGCCTCTCGATATGCAGGCTTCTCTGTGTACTAATAGTTATGTCCACTGGTATATTTTTAATCTGATCATTTGCTAACACCTTTCCCTGCTGAATCAATTCCTCTTCCTAATTCAGTCTGTCTTTTCTCTTTCTCCCAGCCTGTGATGAACAACGACAAGCACTGTTTTGAGTGTTACGGGTATGACATCATTATTGATGACAAGCTCAAGCCATGGCTTATCGAGGTGAGTCATTTAACAGTGGGAGTTATTACGTGCAAACATACCTACAAACTCACCTAAATGGGTTTAATTTGAAAAAAAATATTATTGTCATGTTCCTGAAGACACCAGTTGCTTAATTTGCCAAGTCCTTTTTCCTTGAGTGGTAAGAAACTATAAATGCCCTTGAGCATAAGGTTGATCTTTGTGTGTGTATGTTAGGACATGTGCCTCTCTGTATTCAAATGTGTGTTGAAGGTGTGTTACCCATCCAGTGCATTACTGCAGCTTAAAGACATACTGATTTTAAACTGAGTATGCACCAAGTAATCCAGGCTGATCCAGGATATTTGCTGTCTGGTCTTTAACTTAAAATAGGATACCTCTGTCATCATTGTATCTGCTTGTTATGTGGCTGTCATATTTAATTGCACTCATTTTGACAATCGTACAATGAGTTGCTGGGTTTATAGGCTAGGTCTGAACTATTTCTGTTAACAGACACAGATTTGATCTATTTTGGGCGACATAAATTTGGTTGTAGGGCATAAACGGTCCTCAGTGAGGAACTGAAAAAACGTGTACCACAAACCTAGTCAGGAACGCTTTCCTTTGTTCACTATTCCCGCAAGGATTCCTGAGAAGTATGTATGCAATAGCCAACTCTCCTTAACAAGTAATGCATAACAAAAGTTGAGATTGTCCCTCTCTCTCTCTCTGCTCCTGTAGGTTTTTTAGTGTTTAACAAGTTTTCTTCTTTAAATGTCTGTTTATGAGCACAGCTGTTAGAGCACGTTAGCAGCAGAATTTCCTGCCTGTTTCTACACGGGTATATGAGGAAATTAAACAATGTGTTCATGCCTTTTGGATCTACAGTACATAATTAAAGTCTTCCTGTCTCTATTTTCTTTTGTGTGTGAATGGTTTATGTTGTTTAACGTGCTGATTGCGCTGCTGGCTGTGCAACAAATTGCCCATCAGGGATAATGAAGGAGTTACCTTGCCTTTTATGCTTTTGGTAGAGAACACCCTTCTGTTCAAATGTAAAAGTCACATTCTTTATCTGTGTCATTCTCAGGTCAACGCCTCTCCCTCGCTGACCTCCAGCACAGCCAACGACCGCATCTTGAAGTACAACCTCATCAATGACACTCTCAACATTGTCACGCCCAACGGGGACATCCCGGACTGCCGCTGGAATCGCAGCCCGCCCCGAGAGGCCCTGGGCAACTATCAAGTCCTGTGAGTGACAATAAAATCTACCAGTCAGACAATCTCAACCAAGGAGGGTCACACTGATGCCGAAAGCGTTGCTTTCCTACAGTTACTAAGCTCACATGACCTATTTTTATGAGGGAATGTGCCCTTTGTTAGCTCAGTTGGTAGAGCGGAGGATGGTAGTGTGTTCGCCAGGCGTCCTTAGGTCGCTGGTTCAAATCTGGTGCGAAGGAAAAACTTTTAAATACAGGACTTATTCCTGTGTAATGTGTTTCCATAAGTGAGTTTAATTTGCATGCTGTTCAACATACAGTAGAAACATGGATCACCGATCATGCTGTACACTTCTAAATACTGTAACTTATCAGCTAGTACTCAATAACTGTTTAATGTACTATATGTGGATATCTGACTTAACTGCATTTCAAAGGAATGACTTTAATTCGACAAATTTCATGTTACCATGTTATTTGTATTGTTTGGAAAAAAGACAAGTGTTTTTATAAGAATCTTTACCTTTCCTCGCCTGCCATTGCAGAAACTTGTTATTAAAACTTGGGATTTGTTATGTTAGTGGCCCAACTGATTCAGAGCTAGAATTATTTGTTAAAAATCATTGTTATACAATCATTGTTTTAGGTTATTGGTCCAAAGTTTGCTAAAAGTTGACTCTGAACCACTCCTCAGTTCTAGTTCAGTTTGACGTACTAAATGTTGGTCTCTGACTTGACTATATTTCAGAGGTGTAGCTTTTATTTAAAAAGTTCATGTTATGACGTTATTCGGTAGGTTGTAGTAGGTGAATAAGTACACATGGTCCTAATGGTGATTTGCTTCCCCTCGTCTCCCTTCAGTAGCTCTGTTTGTGGAGCGCAGGGCTGTAATTGATTCACCAGGCATCCTTATGTCACTGGTTCAGATCTGACTTGAAGGAGTCACGTTTGACTCACAAGTTGCCCAAAGGCACCTGATACAAGTTCACTGTGTTATCTTTAGCCATGCTAGCAGCGTTGCTCCAAGTATGGTAATGCCAGTTGCTTCACCCTTTTGGTCCACACTGAAATCTTGACACCAGTAACAACAGATATTAGATGGATTTGCTTGAAGATTAGATGGATTCCCTGAAGTCTCCTCTAGCACCACCATGAAGTTGACATTTGTAGTTCAGTGCCATGAACATGCCATCTCAGCATCTACTTGATGGATTGGCGCAAAGTTAGGTACACACATTCATGGTCCCCAGAGGATGAATTGTAATAAGTCTGATCTCATGACGTTTTACTGTAAGCATTTTAGGATGCTGATGTGAGCGTACAGACTCACATAGCTGCCAGCATGGCTCTAGACTGTTGTCTTGTTATTCATGTGACTGCCAGTTTGATCTCTAGTGCATGTTGCAGCAGCCACAAACAAGTTGTAGGTGTCCTAAACATCCACAACATGTGTCAGACACTGTGTGCAAATTCACCCTGATTAGAAGCTGGTTCCTCTAAAGATGTGAAAAAATTTATTGAGCACACCAGGTTACAACAACAGATGATGAACGGCTGGTGAATACAATAGATAAGGAAAGTGCTACTGGTGAAACACAGGGCCCCGTCTTCCTTTGGTAGCTCAGGTACTAGAGTGGAGGACTGTAGCGGTTGTGCCAGGCATCCTTAGGTTGCTGGTTCAAATCTGGCTCAAAGGAGTTCATTTTATATGAAGGACTTGCTCCTGTGTCATATGTTTGTCAGTTTGAATTGCATATGGTTCAACATACGTTAGAAACAACAAACTTTAATTCAACAAAGTTTATGATACGATGTTATTCGTTAGGTTACGATAGGCGGGTAAGTACACATAGTCCTACTATTGATTTTCATCATTTATGTGTGCCTTCGATAGCTCAGTTGGTAGAGCGGAGGACTGTAGTGGTTGCACCAGGCATCCTTAGGTCGCTGGTTCAAATCCGGCTCGAAGGAGTCACTTTTAGATGAGGTTTAAATTGCATATGGTTTAACATACAGAAGAAACAGTAGTGTGCACTTCTAAATACTAATTAACTATGACTACATAACTGTTTGACGTACTATATGTGGATCTCTTACTTGACTGCATTTCAAAGGAAAGACTTTTATTGAACAAAGTTCATGGTACCATATTATTTGTACTGTCTGAAAAAAGATGATAATGATGATGTTTAGTATTGTGAAGAACTCAGCAGAACAGGGATCACCCTTTATGCTTACCTATTTTATTAAGCGTACTTATTTATTCTTACTTCATGCCACTACAGAAATTAAGGTTATGTTAGTGGACAATGTGATTCAGAGCTAGACTAATTAGTAAAGAAACCATTTTTATACAATCTTTGTTTCAGGTTATTAGTCCAAAGTTTGCTAAAAGTTGACTCTGAACCATTCCTCAGTTCTAGTTCAGTTTGACGTACTAAATGTGGGTCTCTGACTTTACAAAGTTCATGTTATGACATTTTTCATTAGGTTACAATAGGCGAGCAAGTACACATGGTCCTACTAGTAGTTTGCATTCTTTTGTATCCTTTCAATAGCTCAGTTGGTAGAGCGGAGGGTTCCAGGCATCCTTAGTTTGCTGGTCCAAATCCGGCTCGAAGGAGAGGCTTTTAACTCTGTGGAACAGATAGCACAGTTGTCCAGTAGCACCTGAAACAAACTGTTTCACTGTAGAGGTTTGTGCTCTACTGTAACTAGTTCATTAGGAATGGCATTAACTGAGCTGCACTCCAACATGAAAAAGTCTTATAAAGTTTGTCATGTTTGTAGTTGCTCTGTGTTGAAAGTTGCTAAACAGCTTGTATATACAAAATGTTTTTTTCTTATTCATTTTCCATATCAACCAGGAGAACTCCCTTCAGTAGCTTTGTTGGGAGAGCGGTGGACTATGGTTTCACCAGGTATCCTTACGTTGCTGGTTCATATCTAAATGCTGCATTTCTCCTCACTACCAACTGAACAATGGAAGGGCTGATTCTGTAACAGATCAGTTACCCGTAAGTAATACAGGGACAATACTTAAAGGTTGTCTAACAATATGTACCCCATTCTGAACACAATAGTGAGGGTAGTATGTGCCTTAGCACCTTGTTTACATAGTAGGTCTATCTAAAAATGCAACCACAGAGAGGAAATTACTGTAACTCCCCCCTCTACATTACACCAACATCCAATAGTTTGGCTACAGTTCAAAGTAAGGGCTTATGGGCAACATTCAGTTTATGTTATGATAATATTTGTGGATGAACAGCATGAATATATAGTACGTTTTTATCATTCTTTTTGTTTTATATAAATGCATGTTGCATGCTTCATATTCTATCTTCCTTCAGCATTTGGCAACTTGTATGTAGTAGCGTATGTTTTATCGCAGGAATCCAAGGCTGCTGGTTCAAGTCTGTCTTAAAGGTGTAGCTTTTAATCAGATGGGAAAATGGGAAATTCTCATCCTTTGAGGTATTCCTTTTTGGCACAGATATACCAGGATACACCCGCGACCCTGTACGCAGGATAGAGCTGAGGCTGATGGGAATGACACATTTTTGGACACATTTTACCACATGATCAAATGTATTAAAATTTCTCTTGTAGGGACTACAAAATGTTGTGCCAATCTATCTAGTAGATGTTGACATATATCACAGCATTAGTGAAAAACTTGACCTGCTGCAGATGCTAGAGGAAAAGTCAGGGGCTCAACAAAATTGTTTGAATGTATTCTCTAGGGACCTTAAATATCTGTTGTAAATTTCATGGCAATCCACCCAATAGTTGTTGAGATATTTCACTAAAAAACAACAATGTCAACTTCATGGTGGTGCTAGAGGAAAAGTCAGGGGATCACCAATCATCATCATCTGCCGAACATGAAGACATTTCAGTTTGGACCAAAGTGGTGGAATGCCGTTGTTATCATTGGACAAATACAGTTAAAAGCTACTCCTTCGAGCCGAATTTGAACCAGCGACCTAAGGATGTCTGATATTTCCACTACAGTCCTCCGCTCTACCAACTGAGCTATCGAAGGGATGTTGCAATACAGCAACAGACAGGTCATGTATTGTGAACTGTTTAAGCCCAACAGTGAGCGTAATGTGGCCTTTGTGCTTAGCAGGGGGTATTGTTTGAGTAAAGCACCTTGTTTACATACTCTATAGTTTATGTAAGTCAGAGAGCGATTGAAACAAGAACTCCCTCACATGTATTTCTTCCCCACATGATTTCTCTGTCTCTTATTTCCTCCGTGTGTCCACCAGGTACGACGAGGAGCAGGCGCAGAGCGAGAATGCTGAGCGTGACCTGCGGAGTCGTTCGGGTCAGTCCCTGGGGTCAAAGGGCACCAAGGGGAGTGCGGGCGCTCGCCCCACTGCCGCCACATGGAAGTGAGGTGATATTGCTGACTCTTAATGACTTCCTGTACATTATTACAGGGTCCAACAGTTGGGCCCTGGGAATGAAAATGTCCACCCAGACTTTTTTAATTGGGACTGCTCCCTGTCTCTAAATTTCACTGACTGAGGGCACAGGGGGTGACAGCTCCCACTGCTGAAGGGGAGGAAAGTCAACAATGTCGTCATATCTTGAGAGTTTATGAGTGAATGTGTAACTAAAAAACAACAGCAGCGACAGCAGTTACCACCCCAGTCCAAGCTTCCTGTGAAGATAAGAAAAAAACTTCAAAAAGTGGATGACATCTTGGGAGAGGAAATTTATTTCCAGAAGATCCCTCTCCTTGGATAACTGGGGGTGCAGTAGAAGCTCCGGTTGGGAAAATGGCAACTACACAAATGAAAAGAAAGTTGTGATTTATATACATCAATGGGATTAAAATCCAGTGTGAACGAGGGGGATTACGACCTGAACTATGCATGATTACTGAGTCCGGACACTTTAATTTGACACCCCACACAGGTGCTAAAAAGAAGGAGCTATGTGAGATAAAGTATGGAAAAAGAAGATAGAGGAACAAAATATATTACTAATGGAAAGTGTATAAAGATAGGATTTACTGATAGGCAGTTGATAGGTAGAATTAAAAGTACTAAATGTGTATAGAATTTAATAATGTTTTTATATGTCCATTATTAGTATGTATATTAGAGGGTGGGGTGGGAAAGAATGGTCATTAAGATTGATTGTATTCAGTGCTGATGCATCATGCACTTTATTACTTTATTTTTGCTTGAATGGTAAATAGATATCCCATGTTGCATCTTGAGTTGGACCACTGACTTCATATCTGCTGTCCATCTGAAATCGTAAACACACGTGTTGGGAATGTATGCATTCTTAGCTATAAGCTGTTTATTTCATGCTTCTGAAATGTTAAAACACTGATGATTGATACACTGGTGAAGGGCTGAACAGTACTGAGAAAAGATTGCAGTAATTTTGTAGTTCTTTTGCTGTATACCTTGCGGTATTTTAAAACAAATGTTAACGATATTTGTGGCTTTAGTTTGTAGAACTGTTTGGGAAGAATGATTAGGTGATTTAAAGAAAAGAGGAGGGTTGTTCAGTTTTCTGTTTGCTTCAGCGTTCGTGATCAAGATTAACATAGTAATCACTTTATTTACTCTAACCTAAGAGGCGTCTTCTGTCAACGGGTGAAACAAAAGGTCTATCAGCCCTAATCTGACATAGAAACCTATTCGGTGCTTCGTGAAGTAAAATTCTTGATGTGAATTAACAAACAGAAGGAAAGTTATCTACTGATGATGTAACATGCTTCTTTATTTGCTTTCTTTACTTAAAATTTCATTTTAACCTATTTTAATGTTTTGGTTTTGTGTCACTTCACTGTGGTAGGGGGCCCTAAGGCCTTTGATCAATCTAATCTGCCTGAAGATTAAATTAATCAGAGGCCAATCCTTCAAAAGGCATATGACCTTTATATTCTTGCTGTTACCACGGCAAAGTAAGTCTCTGCATGGCACCATTCCTTGACCTTGAAAGTTTGACACTCCCCAAGCACCTTTTTTCCTCCTGGCTCTGGAGCTGAATACTACTCAAGGTGTGTAAACCATAGACCATTTTATACCATATTCTGCAGTAAGACATACACATCTTCCCGAGTTAGAGATCAAATTTACTGAGAGATGAATTTAACTCTGAGGTGTGTCTGGCAGTCAGATAAGGGTCTGGGTGCTCCTAATGCTGGGTTTTTCATTGTGGTTATAAACTGTGCAGTTTGTGTTCTATACATGACACAAAGCTTTTATGTTCTTAGCTTTGCTGTACTGATGCCCCGTTTGAAGATAAATGTCTCCCTTTACTTTCTATCCTCCTTTCAATAAACTATCCATATTGGTGCTGCCTTGACAATACATTTTAGTAAGTTGAAAAATATCTTGCTGGCATTTTGGTGAAGTGGCCCTTTAAAGTTGTACAGAAATGTCGGAATTTACAGCATAAGTTTCAATTAAGGGAAATCGTTTTTCTAATTTGTGGACAGTTCTCACAAACTCTCATACTGCATATGATGAAGTAAAAATAGCTTCAACTCTGCATTAAATATGTCTTTTTCACATTACGGAATTAGTTTATGGCTTTTGCATGAGGAAAGAAAGACTCAGTAGAGAAGGTTCCAGCAGTTAACTTCCTTTTTCTAAAAAGTACCAGAGTTTTTTTCAATGTTTAAGACACATTTGTGTTATCATACTTTGCTTGATATATTTTTGCTATCTTAAAACAGTAAGTTTGCAGCTAAACATGTGCCACTTTACTTATAATGTTGTCTTTTACATGACCTCTGACATAAATAATCTTTGAATTTATTAACTTGTTTTTATAGGTTGGTATGTTTAAAACTTTAATTAAAGCTGGATTGCTAAGCAGGCAAAGCAGGCAACCAACCCAGGCCCCCCTAGAGTGTCACTTGGTTTGTAGTAATTGGTTTGTTCTCCAAATAAAAGCATATCCACCACTATAGAACAACATCACCTAGAATGGAAGAGCTTAAATGACCTGCATCATACCATTAGAACATTTAATAGTTAATTAATTTAATCTTTATTTTTTAGGTGATATTGTCCTTATGGTGCATATTTTTACACTACTGTGTAAAAAAAACTACTGGTCATACAGCAAACACCCAGCAGCTGGGGCTGGGGCTGTAGGTGAAATATAATGTAGTCTGCAGTGTGCATATAATGGGTATTTGAATGTGACAGTGTACATATTACACAATGTTCAGAGAGCATAAGGAACAGGAGGCCATAGGGCCCAACAGACTCCCTAAAAGACCCCAGCGTCATGTTTGGGGTGACTATGAAACCTTTACATCACACAAGACAAAACACAAACGTTTTTAGATGTGACCTGACCTAAATTTTGATGAGTGTATTCTTTTGGGGAGTTTAAGTCAAATTAAAGGAAGGGCCACAGACATCACTGTAAGAAGCAATGCCGGGTGCCTCTGGCTCAAGTAAGTAGAAAAGTTTTTTTAAGGGATGTGACATCAGGCAGCCGCGCCTCTCATAGTTTGCATAAAGCTGATCATTTTTACATATTTCAATATCGGAAGTTAGGTAATTCCAAAATAGAGGTTTTGACACCACATTTCATAGTGTCATTCAGCTGTGGCGCTTTTGTTGTTAAACGTTGTTAAAGTTAACTACTTGTCAAGTTAATTACTAGACACTCTTCCATGTTGTTTGGAATGAGTTTTGTTATATTTGGGCAACATAAAGCACATTTGTAATTGTGTCTGTAATTACAGAATACACAATATCCAAGTATTTCTGGTACTTTTATACATACTTTGCAACTGTGGGTGATGCATACATATCCTATACTTAATAATTGTGTAGCCATATAACAATGTAAACATACACCACTGCAACAAGCAAAGGTCATACAAAATGGTCCATGTTGAAGTATTGATGCAATCATTTGTAGTATTTTAATGTTGTAGCTGGTCGAGACAGGGTTAATTGTATATACTATTAGACAGTTTAATCTATACCAATGTATCATATTTTTCAAAGTGATCATAGGTTTTTTATGTAAAAGCTCAATCTGCAAAATAACGTGTAACTATAGCTCTAGTGGAGCAAAGTAATATGAAAAGGAAATGCTAAAGTTAAGCCCAATTATCTCCAATACGTACAGACAGTGGGCTACATTTACTAATTTACTTTCCACCCTTGGGACTAAACATCGCCTTCGCTGCCGGTCTTATGTTGAAAATCTTGACCGGATGTGCTGTGCAGTACTGCACGCAACTGACAAGAGTGTCAGTCAGTCAATCGATGGTGCCGCTGCTGAGCAGAAAAACGGTTGACAAGATTTGGAAATTGGCACCAACAAGAGAATTTAGTCTTCGGTTAAACATAAATCCCCAAGAGGAATAAACCTGTGCCAGGTGAGCTTAAACTAAGACTTTTACGGTGTACCGTTGAACTTTTTTACTAAAGGGGCTGTGGCTAATTCGCTACCATCAGAGCTAGCGTTAGGGGGCTAACGTTAAAGTTAACTTACTTCCCGATGGGAGTACGTTAACTTAAGTCGTTGCTGTGTTGGTCATAAGAACGTAATTTAAATAAAGTAAAAGCTACAATAAGGTAAAATAATGGTCGCACGGGTCTAATAGGATCTAAAATTGAGGTTTAACGAGTTCACCATTGACGGAATGTAAGTTATAACACGTTTCACACACAGTAACAATATTTCAGGATATTAAAAGTCCAAAGACTTAAGCTAACGTTAGTACCGTTAGGTCGTTGTTTTACAAAATGCTTAACGTTACTGTAGTGAAGTAATGTCGCAGTTGGTTGTTGGACCAGGTTAATTCATGTGGTTTCCTCGAGGCGTATTACCCCAGCTGTCCAGCTTTCAGGGGGTATGTATTGATAAAGGGCGGGGCAGGTTTCGCAAGTACAGATAACTCTCTGGTCCTGCCTGGTATGCTTACAACATTATATTATACTTTTGTCATTTTCTGTGCAGAGAAATGGCTCAGTTACTGCTGGCTGCCAGTTTCGTTATGGGCTGCACGTCCTCTGTGCTTTAATTTGCGCAGTGCAAGCTAGCTGCCAAGTTCAGTCCTGACTCCTGTAACGTTACTGTACATTCGATCCACGTTACATGTACAGAAAGAAATGTTAGCTTGTTAACAGAAAGAAGCAAGTAATAAGGAACCTGGCCTTCCTTCCAGCCAGTAGTCATGATACTAACATGAGTCAGTGGAAGTTATCAGTCATGCAGCTGGAGTATTTAGACATGGTGACAGTATACCTATATATGTGTGGTTTGTGTTTGTTTGGGGTGTAGTGTTGTCAGGGTAAAGCAGTAGTGAAAGCTCTGTGAGAAGGCTGCTGGTTCCTTATTTCTGGGGTGGCCATGTGAACTGATTGCTAGTCAGAGAACCAAGCTAAACTTAGAGTGGGTATTCCAATTCAGGCTGAAGCCACTGCTCTCCATTTAGAGGGATCTTTTTTTTTATTGGTGTATTCTCCCAAGAGCACACATGAAGCAGTGACAGGGATATGAGCCATTGTCAAGCAGATTTTAATTATGTAATATGTTTAACCTGTTCATATGAGTGGACATAAACTACTCCCACCATCGCACCAAAGCTAGAATCCAAGGATCTGTTAAGACATAAAGTAAGAAAGTTTTCTATGCTTCACTGCATTAATCGCAGATCTCATATTGACTGGTTCCCTTGTCGCATATGTGAATATTCAGTGATGATAAGCTGAATATGCTTAGGTTTTGGACTGTTTGTCAGACAAAATAAGAAGCAGAAAGCAGAAAGTCAGCTGTAGCTTTTTTTTTTTTCTATTTTCTGATTTTGTAGACCAAATATAAATCAATTTATTAAGATTTAATTAATTAATTAATTAAATTAAAGCTGAAACAATTAGTCAAGAAACAGAAAATTAATTTGCAACAATTTTGCTATTATATTTTTTCACTTTTCAAGCTAATGTGCCAAATATATGCTTGAACTAGCATAGCACCAGCTCGATTATTTTTTTCATGTTTTGGTTTTATATCATTATAAACTGAATATCTTTTGGTTTTTGGACTATTGGTTAGAGAAAACAATGCATTGGAAGTTATAGTGGGCATGTTTCTGATACTTCATAGACTAAATGATGAATTGGGAAAACAGTCTGCAGATGCATCTATGATGAAAATAGCTCTTAGTTGCTGCCCTTATTCACGGGCCTCCTGGTTATTGTAAATACAATAAAGCAGCTCCAGAAAGTTTCAAATGCTGAAATCAAGTTGTGGGGTCCTCTGTGATCTCTGTCTTTGTGAGAGAATTGTTTTCAAGGCCCCTTCCTGAAAGGTCTGCAGCTTTAAATGTATCACATGAGACACAAATCTGCATGCAGGACAGGGGTTTCCACAGGAAAAAGTGCCCGCCGGTGACGTCAGAATCTCCCATTCCCTGTCATGTAATACTGAATTTCCCTCCATTATGTTCATCCCTATGCTGCTGGCGTGTCCAGTGGAAAATGCCTGAAAGTGTGGAACAAACGGCATTGTTTCTCCCTGACCATGGAGCAAGGGGTTTGTGAGCTGGTGGACTGGTCAGTTATGTTGAGCTACAGTTGACCTAGTGTTGATGGACCAATGGTTTCATTGTCTGGTGTTTTGTAGCCTACTAGCCACAGTATGAAGCTCTGGTAGTGATCTCTATAAAGGCTGGATAGGTGGGAGTGTGTAATCGAGAGGCTCCACATTCGAAAGGCCATATTCCTGTGAGATCAGCAGTGCTGTGCAGCTGCTGAGCTCACACAGTGGGAAGGAGGGCATAGGTGATTGACTGACAGGGAAAGAAAATTAAGGTCATGACCTGTGATTGCTATGGAAACTTTTGACCTTCAAGCTAGTGTACAAGTGTGCAACTAGAGAGAAAGTAGCAAAGGAATGATATTATTTTTTTTCTCATAGCCCAGTCGGGATTTAGCAATGTCCTGCTGTGAAACCGCAATATTGCAGGGATAGATCAGCTCAGCTGCCTCAGAGATATTGCAGGCGTTTTATGCAACAAAAGAAGGAAATGGAAACTGAAAAAAGTCACCCGTTGTCACATAAGCAATTTCCATGTGATTAAGGCATCGGCAGTACAGCAGTTTTTAAGCCTGTTTGTAATGTAATAATCATAAGCAAGTTGAGTGTTGGTTTGTTTAGTTTAGTTTTAAGTTCAAGAAATAGTCAGTAGAGCTAGAACTAACGAAATTCTATTTGCTATGGATTAATCTGATTACTGATTTCCTGGATTAATTGTTTTGTCTATAAAATGTCAAAATGCTGAAAATGTGCATAGCAATTCATAAAGCAAAGATCTTCACTTTAGATCTGCAACAAT